TGCCTCCGTCCCCACATGCACAGAAATTGCTCCACTGACCGGGCTGATTCCCAAACCGTCACAGCCAATGGGCTCTTTTCTTCCCAGTCCTTTCCCCGCCCGACCTCTTTGCTGGGCCGACACTGTCCTCTCTCGGCTTCACTGGCACCCACGCCCGGCTCCCGCCTGTCCTGGCTGTGGGCACTCTCTCTTGGCCAGGTCTTCTCACAGACGGCGTTTGCTCTCATGGCTTCCATCGCTGTCTGGTTATCGGGGATTCCAAGCCTGTGGCTCTAGCCCAGTTCTCCCTCCCCCGAGCCTCAGACCAGCTGGGTGCCCTGGAGAAGCCACACCAGGACTCAGGTCTCCTCCCCTGCTCACCGCCCCATCCTCCAGCCCCTCAGGCCAGAACCTTCCACTCACACAAGTCCCCCATCTAATCAGTCTCCAGATCCTGTTCTCTTACCTCCTAACTACTTCTCAGACCTGCCCCTCCCCACGTGCCCTGCCTCTGCCCCGAATCACACTCTGATCCTCTCTCCAGAATTATTCCCACGGCCTCCGCCCTGCCCACCCAACCTGTCCTCCACCTGCAGCTGCTGGGGGCTTGTTCTTGCAGCAATACCCATGCCACTGGGTCATGATGACTGGGCTTGGAAGGAAGAGGGGGCCAGACTCAGTGCTAAGCGGCCTTTGTATTTTATTGAACACACTCTTGAAGTGGCATTGGTGTTATCTCCATTGTTGTAGCTAAAGAAAAACGGGGCTCAGAGAGGGTCGGTAACATGCCTGGGGTCACACAGCTCACCAGTCCTGAAATTTAGTCTCATTCACCCGTATCAGTACCTCGCTTATGGTTGAATGAGTGAGTGATAGACTGGACCCAGGAGGTCAGAGGTCAATAGGTCACCTGAGAACATCAAGCATTTCCCTGGAGGTCTATGGGATGGGGGCCTCCTGTTGGGGGGAGGGGACTGGTGTGTGCATGGTAAGCCAAGGGCTGGCTGGAGGCAGCCTGGGTACAGGAAGGGGTGATATTCAGTCGGAACGTTGCCAGAGACGAGTGGCAAATCGGGGTTAAGTCACGTAATTTCTCTGTGCCTAGTCCAGGGTCTGGGCTTGTGGTGTCAACGTTTCAGTCCTAACGTTTTGTCAACCGCACCCCCCTTCCCTAGGAAGTCCCTCCCGGGTCCCACCCGAGGGCTCTGCATGGAACGCCACTCAGATGATGACGTTCCTTTCCTTGAAACGTCTCTAGCGGCCCCTTTGCCTGCAGAACAGGCCCGGCCGCTCCGATGGAGCATCCCAGGTCTCCCTCCTGGCCCTCGTCACCTTCCCAGACGGGGCCTTCGTGCCTTTGCTCAGACTGCCGCCTCAGCTGGAACGCTCTCCCCTCTCCCCTCCCCGTCTAGGTCCCGCTCTCCCCAGCCCAGCGAGGATGCTGCTTTTCTGTGGAGGGCCTCCCGTGCCTGGTCAGACAGCACTGCTGGTCCCCTGGGTGCCCACCTCTGCCCAGGGCTGAGGGCGTTCTGCCGGATGCAGTGAGCGCTCGCTCGGCGGCACAGAGTCAAGGGTAGAACTGCAGGAGGCCAGGGTCCGTCCGGTTTGCCCCTCTTCCTCTACAGATACGTCTGTCTCCTCCTTATGAGTATTGCTGTGTCACCTGGGTCTGTCCTGCAGGAATGGAGGACTGGCCTGTCTTCACTCTTAAGATAGCAGGGTGGGCCTGTGTGAGCATGTGTGTGGGGGACAGAGGAGGGGGAGTGCAGAGCTGACATTATTGAGCAACTCCATGGTCCTGAATTATTTTCATACATGACTCTATTTAATCCTAACAGGAAGAGGGGCAAGGGCGGGTCCCCAACCCCCCCAACCCACTGTCGGACCCCAAAGCCCAAGTTCTAGGAGTCCTGGGAGGCGTTCTGGAGCATTCTGGGCCTTGGGGTGTGGGATGGGAGGGGTGCCTAGCTCTGAGCCTCTCTTCAGAGGGTATTTCCATGGGGCACATATTTTGGGCTCAAGAACTCGGTTCATTAGCTCTGCTGACTTTTCCCCCCTCCTTTCCTCTGCTCACCTTGATGTGGGCACTTAGTTCCCACCGGACAGGCGAGGAGGTGAGCGCTCTGACTTCCTGGAACCCACATCTCTGGGTCTCTGCAAGGAGAAGTGGGCAGTGACACGCCCACACGAAGAGCAGCTACCAGGCAGCAGCCCTGGGCGGGGAGGGGGTGGTGCTGGGCAGGTGGGGCTGTGTCTCAAAGCCCGGGCCTTTCTCCTCCCTGCCTCCCTGCCTCCCTGCCCTCCCTGCTCTCCCTGCCCTCCCTGCTCTCCCTGCCCTCCCTGCCTCCCTGCCTCCCTGCCCTCCCTGCCTCCCTGCCGTCCCTGCCCTCTCTGCTCTCTCTGCTCTGACCCTTCCTGGGATGATCCTGGGCCAGTCCGAGCTTTTGTTTCCTTTCTAGCCTTTGTGTCCTTTCTGTCACCTTTTTCATTCCTGTGGTGCTGGTCACCATGGGACCTCTGTGGTCATAGCTTCGTGGAAGGAATCGACAAGGTTCAGTTCCCGGAGCTGGAAGCCTGAGGCCGAGGGTGGAGGGTCCAGCCAGCCTGGGCAGTCCAGGGCAGCAGGGAGTGAGGACAGAACCCTGGCCCCCAGAACCTGAGACTGTTGCCCTTCAGGCCAGAGCCTGGCTCGCCCAATAGGGGACAGCCCCTGCGTGGCGCCCAGAGAGCGCTGGGTGCCAATGGGGGCTTAGTGACTGTCCTAGGGGTCAGGCGCTAAGGGCTGTCCCCGCTAACCCCCAAGCTGTGTCTGATTCTGGGCTGGAATTTGTGATTCTAGTTTTTATAGTTTGGATACGCTTCTCTAAGTCCCACCAGGTCCTGGCCCAAGTGGCTTCCTGGGAGGTGCCATCATTGCTCTCACATAAGACATAGAGATAGCTGTTTGTCTATGCACAGCTGTAGCCACCTCCCCTGGGCTGGTGCCTAGGAGACCCTGAGGGCCCGAGAAGTCAGAGGTATAGACCCCAACAGGGGCAGGCCTCAAAGGGCTCCGCCTGCTGGGTGGCCTTGGCAGGCGGTGGCGTGGGCCCAGGCTTCCTTCCTGGGCGGCTGATGCCCCTCAGGGCGGGGGTGCTGCAGGCTGTCTTGGCTGGTGGCATTCTGCCCGCTGAGAAGTTTGTGGTGGGGGTGGGGTGGGAGGCAGTCTTGTTCAGAAGGCCCTTTGCCGTAGAGGTGGCCCCTGACCCCCATGCTCTCTGGACTCTCAGGCAGCCCCAAGTCTTCTCTTGAGCCTGCTGGGGAGTGATCACTTTGGGAAACTGAGGTAGAAATCTCCACCTTGACAGCTGATAATGAGAAGCAGGGCTGGGGACTTGTTCTAAAGTGAATCTGGACTGTGTGGCCCAGTAGCTCTCAATCCTATTCAAACATCAAAATCACTCAAGAGGTAAGGGTGGAAAAAGACATAAAGAAAATCCCAACAACAGGTCCCTGTGGCCTCTCCCTAAAAGACTAATTCAGTAGGGGCCTGCGGTAGGGCCTTGGAATTCGTCATTTTAATCAGCTCCCAGGTGATTCTGAGCTGTGGCCGAGGCTGAGAGCAAGAGCTGTAGCTAAATATCACTTGTCTCCATATAATGTGCATAGACAGCCTCTGCTCTGCTTAGGGATGTAGCAGGCGGTTGTGGGGCCTCTGCCCCCAGAGCCCGACTCCAGCTTGTTGGCTCTGATTCAGCGTGGGAGGTTTGTCCCCTCCAGGCACATTCCTGGGCTTTGCCGGAAGCAGCCAACTCACCCATCTCTTGCCTGTCCCAGCTCATGGGACAGGGGCAGGATCCCGTCTCAGCTCATGGGGCAGGGGCAGGGGCAGGGGCAGGGTCCCGTCCCAGCTCACCCGGGTAGGGTCGGGGTGTTGGGACCTGCCAAGTGCATCTTCCGCCACCTTGCTGGGGAGAAGTGCTGTGTCTCAGGGACATTCCTGGCTGCTTGTCACAACCATATGGACAAATCCTATCCCCAGAGTCAGCAGACAGGGAGTGGTCTTCTCCCCCGGGGGTGAGAAAGCTTCTGAGAGCCCCAGTAGGTGGGAGACCTGGGGAGGGCTGGGCTGGACCGCTGTGGGCCAGGAGGGTTGCTAGGAGCCGCTGTGCCTCTGGGGCCAGGGCGGGGCTGGTGACGAGCTGGTTTCCAGATGGAAGACAGGTCCTCTCCGTTCCGGAGCTGGGAGCTCCTGCTCAGCCAGAGGGAGCTGGCACTGCGTCCTGCCCGTCCCCACATGCCGTCTCGAGGGAGCCACTTCGGAGGAGAATTGGTGGCCTGTTAGATGTAGATGTGGCCTTGGCCCCTGATCTTATCACCGATCAGCTCCGGCCGCCATCGCCCTACCTGTCAGGGTGAGAGTGGCTCACCATGGTCTCAGCAAAGACTTTATAAACTTGGGTGAAGTCACAGCATCTGTGGAGAGACCCTTGTCATGTAGAAAGAGAATGAAGTCAGACCGAGGACAAGAGCTGATGGCTGACCCCAGAGGTTGAAGGGAGGCTGGGAGGAGGCCTGGGTGGTCGAGCGGTCAGCGCAGGACGATGAAGTGGCTGCGAGGGCCGGGGGCTGGCTTGGCAGTGTGACTGAGAATGAGGGCCAAGAGCTTCGGGCAGATAGACAGGACGCCCTGAAAGGAGACGCGGGCGGGGTCCTGGGAGATGCACCAGGTGCCGCGTGATGACAGGGTCACTCGCCCGACCTGCCTCCTGACGTCCGGGTGCTCGGCAGAAACCGACGGAGAAGCACAGGGTCAGACTCCCCGTGACGGTCCCACCGTCCCCGCCATCCCGAGACCCTGAGGCGGCCCTGTCGGAGCCACAGGCGAAGCAGGTGTGTGGGTTTCCGATGCTCCATCATGAACTCTGTCCACAGCCATGTGGCCTGGACCCTCGGGCTGTGAAATGTCTAACGCAAACGTCAGAAAAGAGCTGCCCTTCGGTCCCGGGCAGGCTTCACTGTGGAAGGCAGTGCTGCGTTTAGCCCCCGACAGGCCTCTGGGAGTAAGAAGGTCTCTGTGTAGGAAGCATGGTTATTCCTGCGCTGACTTCTCTCTGCCCGCCCACCGCAGGTTGGGGCCCTTGGACCCTCGAGGACTGTCCTCGGGGCCCAGAAAGTCGCTGCTGCCTCTGAACGAACTGCCGGCACCTCCTCTGCCCGGGGCATGGGCAACCGCGATGCTGCCCCCCCAGGTAAGGCGCATCCAGGGAGGCCCCGGCTCGGGATCTCCTCGGACTCTCCCGGGGACTGGACTTGCCAGGGAGATGTAGCCGGGCACTGTGTCCCCCATCCCCGCCCAGCTCTCCGTGGGCTAGCACAGCCCTCTGGCTCAGTGTGCTGGGGGGCGGGGGGGGGGGTGCGGTTCCCTGGCCTGGGGAGGAGCTGAGAATGTCCTAAGGACTCGGCCAGAGCTCTGCCTCCTCTCTGAGCTGGGGGCTGCCTGCTCCGTGGTGGGAGAAGGAGGATGGGCAGAGGATGGGGGCTGGGCCGCAGGGAGGGCTGTGTTCCCCCCTTTTCCTCAGCTGACAAGGCCGGAGAGTGGGAACCGCGTGGCCGGCTCGGTGTCAGGGGACAGGGTTCCAGGATTGGCGCTGCCTGTGGGAGCCGCTGTGGGAGCCTCAGTTTCCCCTGGCGAGTGAGGGGGTCGGCGGGTCCTGCCAAAAGTGCAATGGGTGCTTGCGAGGTTGGAGGGAAGCCAGGTGACCACTTGGGAGGGATGCAGGGAGCCCGAGGCCCGAGGCCCGAGGCCCAAGCAGTTCAGGGAGCAGCCACTCTGCTCAGGGCAGAGCACCTGGGGCCTGGGCACATCAGTGTGAAGACAGCCACTGGTCAGCGCTGGTCAGGTCCTGCTGGGCACTCTGCCACTCTGCCAGGCATCGTGTGTGGCAGGGAAGTGGGAGGTGCTGAAGGCAGGAGAAACATCTAGAAATAGAATGACGATGTGACCGATGTGATCGTGGGAACCCTGGTCCCGTTCAACGCTCTTGTTTGCTGATCTGGGGACGAGACTCACAGAAGTTCACGTATTTCCTGAGGTCACTCAGGGGACAGGAACAGGGGGCACCCGACTCCTGACTCCTCGTTTAGGGACCTTCCACTGGGGGTGGGCGTGCTGGGTTTTCACTTCGTGGCGCTTCTCCAGGTGGTAGGTTAGGGCCCACGTGTGGCCCCGAGGTGTGTGTGGGAGGGGCTGAGCCGCAGAGGTGCAGGCCGTTGGTTCAGTTTGCAAACCCCCTGAGCTCAGCTACTGCGAATAAGGATGCCTGGGGCTGACAGAGATGCTCTTAATTAATAAAATGTGCAGGGGGATCCATGGGGCAGGCTGCTGAGCGGGCGGTTAGGAGAGAAGAGGGTCAGGGTAGGACCCTCATGAGGGGCTTGGGCCTCCCAGGGGAGGGGGTTGAGCAGGTGATGGGTCTCTGCTCTGCCACTGCAGGGGCAGGGGGGAGGGTTCAGAACCAAAGACACAGGGTAGGGGGTTACTGCGTGAGGGTGACGAATAAGGGCATGACAGCGAAGGGGTGGCCCACTGAGAGCAGCTGGCATGTGACGTGCCAGTGGACAGAGTGGCGACCAGAGGCAGCAGGTGCAGAGGTCGGGCAGAGCGGGGCCACGGGCTTCGGGGGCGCATGGAGCCATGGCCGCTGGGCTTGGGGTGGTCGGTGCCCATCGGAGGCCTGGCTCTGCATTGGGGGGATGGGCCGCAGAGACCCCCTGGGGCAGAGTGCGGGGCAGTGCTTCCCCAGTGCTGGTCTAAGAGGCCACTTTCCCGCCCTTCTGCCCCAGCCAAGGCCCTGGCCCCGGTGGCCGTGTACTGTGGGAGCGTCCCTCAGACCAGCTCCAGGCCCCGCGCACTCGCGGGTGGAAGCCGCCACCCCAGCCTGCGGGCTGATGGAGAACGTGAGATGGGAGGACTGGCCTGGTGCCTGGGTCACACCAAGCTTTCCCGTGCCTGGGGCCTTCCACCTGGCAGCTGCCCAGTCCAGCTGGGTGACGGGTGACTGCGGAGTGTGGCCTCCTCAGGAGGGAGGAGATGACTGTTGAGCTGCCTGGGCGTGGCCTCCGGCTGCCAGCAGGTGGGTTTTTTATTGGGGTCCCTCCTGAATGTGCCCTGGTTTCAGGTGGGCTCTTTCCATTCTGTGCCTCCGGGACAGAGGTGTAGAAGGGGATCCTCAGAGCAGGGATGTGGGATCCCGGCATGCACCTGCCTCTCCTAGAACCAGGGGGAACCTCGAGAGCCCCGGGAGTCAGGGCCTGGCGGTGTCTGGCATCCAGGCCAGGGAGGGAAGTGCCCCCGTGTCACCGTGGCGGCCGAGGCGGGTTTTCAGGACCCTCAGCTTCTCTGCTCTGCGACTTCCTGCTCCGGCTCCCAGCTGCGGGCGATTTCCTCGCGGAGCCCGGTTCCAGGGGTTCGGATGGAGAATCTGATCTGGTCACTTGTCCTCTTTCAGTCCCGCCCCTCACAGGCCTGCAGCTGGCACCCAGTGCACCTTTCCTCGGCTCTGGTGCCAGCAGCAGGCCAGTGCCGGCGGCCTGGGCATCGTCTCGGTTCACATCAAGGTGCCCTGGGAAGCGCTGCGGATGTGGCGGGTTCTGAGAGCTGGTCTGTCTGTCTGTCTGCCCCGCCTGCCCCCCACCTCCCCCCAAGGTCCAGGCCCCTTCAGGCCCTGTTCACACACTTCCCTTCCTGAAGGTTTTCCTCCCCCTCCATGCACCAGGCCCCCTGCTGCCTGCTCCACGGCGCGTCTCACATCTTACCCTGTAATGAACCCACTTAGGAACAGATCTTATTTCTCTCGCAGACTGAACGCCCTTCAGCAGTAAAGACTGTGGTTCGCGCAGTGGAATGTAAATTAGATGCAATTCTCCACTGCGTTTTATTCCTCACAAACTGTCAAAGGGCTCTGTCGGACGGAATCTTAAACTGGGGTAATACGCACTCTAAGACCGTGTGTGTGTGTGTGTGTGTGTGTGTATGTGTGTGTGTGTGTGTGTCTAGGTAACAATTCTGTTTGGGAACAATAGTGTGAAGATGTTTTACTACCTAAGAAAGAAAAAGATTCAGAAGATTTTAAAATCTCAGAGAGGTGCTGCTCTAGCTTGACTATGTGTTTTCATGGTCCTGCCATAAATTACAGTCAAATAATTTGCTCTAAGGTAACACATTAAGAAAGAACCTCTGTTAAAAAACAAACAGCAACAACAACACCGAGCAGGCCTCACACGCCTCGTCCCCCACGCCTGCCAGTGCTGGGCAGGGGCTGGACGCTTGAGCTTTGCTGAAGGAGTGATTGGATGCACCGTGTCTGCCTGGGGGCACGATCGGCTCTGATTCGCCTGCGTCTCTTTCCCGCCGGTGCGGCGTGTCGGGTGCTCGGTAACCTGGGAGCTGGTCGGATGCTGGAGATTGGTGGCGGGTCCCTGGGCAGGAGGCCTCCCGCCTGTGCTGTGATAGGACTGCATATGGAGTCCCCTCTCGCCCTCTGGGCACCTCGAGACTCAGGCCTTTGCAGGTTCCCTGCTCTCTAGATGCCGCTGAACGAATGAATCAACCCAAGGGGTTGGGTTCGGGGGGCAAGCAGGGAAGGACTGGATTCACGGGCAGACGGCTGACTGTCCCAGGGAAGCGGTGCCTGGTGCCGCCCTGGGCTCTGTGTGCCAAGCCACTCGTGCCTCTGTCTCCCCAGCTTCCCTCCAGCCAAAGCCCAGCGTCCTGCTGGAGAAGCCCTCGCAGCTCTCGAGTGGACATGGGGACCCTGGCAGCCTCATGCTGGACGCTCCCCTGAAGGGCTGGCAGGCCAGGAATGGCCACCCCGGGAACCTCGGGGCCCTGTCCCAGGGGCCCCACCCTCTGGTGCCCCTCCCTTCGCTGAGTCAGAGGCCAGCAGTGTGGCCCGGACACCACCCAGATCAAGGACAAGCTCAAGAAAAGGAGGCTCTCCGAGGGCTTGGCAGCATCTTCCCAAGGTGAGCCTGGGGCCCTGCCCCCCCCTCCCCCGCCTTCCACCCGCCCCGGGCCAGCCTCTGAAGTACCCTCACTCTCTGAGCTCCTGGGACTAACTTATTCCCCATTCCCCGCCCCTCCCCACCCCCCCATACAGCCTCTCTGGATCCTGGGGGAGGCCCCAAAGGAGTGGCCCCGAGGAGTGGCATCCCCTGGGCCACCTCTCAGAGGCTGCTGAGGCTGCCCCGGCCCATGCCTCCCATCCAGAGCACTCCCACCACCCCCGAGGCCAGCGGAGCCAAGGACAGGGGTGTGGACCAGCCGGAGAGCAGCCAGGGGCCCCAGGAGAGGAGCCCCGGTGTCCAGGAGGTAAGGACTGGACTACTCTCCGTCCTTCTGTCTTCCTTCCATCCTTTCTCACCCCCTTTTCCCGAGCCCTGAGCTTCTCCAGGGGGCTCCCAGGTGCCGCCCTCGGGGTGGAGGGGGGCTTGGGCCCCCATCTCGTCGCCCCCCCCCCACAGTGTCCCACACCATTGCAGCTGGAGCCTGGAGGGTGCCCCCGAGTCCCCGAGCTCCCGCTGAGCAGAGGCTGTGTGGCCACCTGTCCTGCACTTGGGGCCCTCGGCCTCCTCGGGTCTAAAGGCTCCAGAATCCCGCCTGCCCCTGGCCCTTTCCGTGTCAGGCTGGGCGTGTGGCCGAGGGGGGGATGCTGGCTGAGGACTCGGAACCTGGGGCTCTGGTTTCTCCTCTGCTCCTCCCCGGCTGTGTGACCTTGGCCAGGTCACCTCCCTCCCTGGGCCCCGGGTGCACATCTATAGGAAGAGGGGGTTGGACAAGATGCTTTTGAGGATCCCTCCCAGCCCTGGTGGTCTAGGATTTTTCTAAAATGAGAAGAACAGAAAACAAGAAGAGGAAAAGGGATTGGAGCAGGGATGAAGGGACCCCTTGCCAGGCTCGCCGCCTGGAGTGGTGAGGAAGCAATGAGCTTCCCGGGTCCCAGGGCTGTGAGACTGGAAGAGAACCGGAGTATACTTCCCAGCATTGCCGCCTACCCAGGCGGCTCCCAAGGGAAGGGCCGCCCTGTGTGAGGGGCCCCGAGGGTGAGTGTCCCGGGGGCATGTTTCTGTGGGCCGTACCTTCCTCCTCCTCTGCTCCCAGGTGCACATCTCCCGGCAATACCTGCACTGCAGTGACCAGAAGATGCACAAGTCCCTGGGGGGCATGGTGATCCCGCCCATCCCGAAGGTGGGGGTGCCCGCTGGGACCGCCTCCTGCACACCTGGCTCCCTTCCCAGCCTCTCGCCTCCAGGCCAGGATGTCCTCGCGGGCCCGAGGGCCCCCCACGCACGGTAAGCAGCCCTATGTCAAACCCCCCTGGCAGGCCTCTCTCCTGCTATCCCCCCAGGATCTGCTTGGGGTCCCCATGGCTGAACCTCCCTGGCAGAGCAGAGCCCCGGGGGCCCAGGCGTGTGAGGAGCAGGGTTCCCCACCCGTGAGCCACACACTTGGGGAGGCTGCAGCCTCGTGACCCCGCTCTGATCTGCACTCCCCCCAGTGCCTCAGCCTCCGTCTCCTACAGTCCCCTGGTGTGAGTGGTCGCTGCAGTGATGGCTCAGACACACAGGACTTTAAAGCTCTGTTGCAAGGTAGCTCTTTGTTATTGTGTATTTTCTTAATAAGTGGATACTAAAGACGCAAGCATTCTGAGCTTGAGGCAGTGTGGGGAGGGTAAGCCTACAAAACTTTGAAAGGGTCTTCGTGTCCAGGAGGGCTGGGAACCAGGGCGTGGAGGGTCCCTGGGCTGTAACGAACCCGGGTTATGGAGTGTAAGCAGGACAGACGGTGTTCTGCAGATGGCCAGGCACATCCATGTGGTCAGTCCAGACGGACATCGGAGCCTGTGTGTGTGTATGTGTGCGAGAGAGAGAGAGAGAGAGAGAGAGAGAGAGAGAGAGAGAGAGATATTCTGTTGATGTATTTCTCCCCCATTTCTCTGGAGCCCGATGTCCTGAATTCTCCCACTGCTCTCAAGCTCTTCGCTCTGTGTCTCCCCGGCTGCCGACCTCTGTCTGTACCCATGTCCCCCCCTTTCCCCAACCCGGCTGGAGTGTGGGGCCTGTCTGTGGACCTGCTCCTGGGCCAGAGCCTTCTCTCAGTTCTCACGCAGTGGTGGGCTCCACCGACCTCCACGCCCTCACCACCAGACACCCCTCCTCCTCTCCCGCTCCGACATCGGACCCCCGCCCTCCGAGGGTCATGCTGGGTGGCTGGAGTGGCCAGAGCGACTCTGGCTCTGGACCGGTGGCCTTTCCGTCCTCCCATTGGTCTTCACTCTGTGCATCGTTGAGCTTGATGCCCTTGAGCTCTTCTTCTGCTCGCTCTGTGCCTGCTCTCGACCTTCCGGGCAGCTTCCCGTGTGCCCTCCCTCATCCACCTTAAACACGGCTGTTCCTGGAGTTTGTCCCAGGGCCCTGTCTCCCACCTCCTTCCCTTCCCTGGCATCTGATCTGTGTGGCGGCTCCCAAGGCTCCGTGGGCGTGGGTGACCTCCACGTCCCCGCTCTGCCCGAGGTCTCCCCAGGGCCACGCTCTGGGCTGGGCCTCCCAGTGTGCAGGGCAGTGAGCCTTACTCACAGGAGGAGGGAGTTTAGGGGTCATGCTCTCATGAGTGGGGTCCGTTTGGGGGACTTGAGCTCAGTCTGCTCTGAGCCGGGAGATGTAACCTTACCTGCTGCAGGTCCCAGCAGGGGTGGGCTTCCTTCAGGACCGAGCAGATTCCGTGTAGACTGGCTTCCCGGGGAATCGAGGGCCTGGGCAGCCAGGAACGGGCTCGAAGCTGGGTTTGGACTCCTGGTTGAGGTTGCAGAAGGAGCTACAGCTTTGAACTCCCGGGCCCTCTCTTTACAGGGCACCCTCCACCGCCCTCCACAGTGTCCCCCCTCAGCTGCCACCCCGTCCTCGAGCTGCCTACCCAGGCCCCACAACCCCTCCCTCGCCATCGCTCACGGTGCTTTTCTCTCCCCATTCCTTTAAGATTGGTTCGGGAGAGTGGGCCTCGGGAGAAGACCCCTAAATCTCTGGGTATGTACTCTCCTTGTGCACCCCCACCTGTCAGTCAAGCTCGGGTTCCTGGGCTGGGTCCTGGGATCAGAATTAGGGCCGGAGGAGACCTGAGAGCTGTGGGGCCCAAGCCTCTCCTTTCACGACAGGGATGGGCACCAGTGCGTGTAGCTTCATGGCAACCAGCTGAGAGAGGGGGCGCTGCCTTGGCGGGACCTCCTCCTGGTCTCTGAGTGTGGAAGCAGCCAGCCCGTCCCCTCGCACCCAGGCCCGCGTGGCTCCCCAGCTGCCTCCTGACACGTGGCGAGGCCGCCCCTGCCCTGTGTGATCAGGAGAGGAGAGCATTCCTCACCAGAGGCGGCGAGAAGTTAAATCCCTGCGTCAGCCAGGAGGGGTCGGGGTCAGGGAACAGGGCCCAGGGGCTGGAGGGGAGGCAGGGCTGGCAGGAGGCTGAGTGCAGACAGGATGTAGACCGGGAGGAGGCTCTCCAACCTGATGCCCTAGCTGTGGAGAGGGGGGAGGTGACGGCAGCTGAGCCCCGGGCAGGTTAGCGGAGGGGCCCTGGGCACGGCACCCTGAGCCCGGCCCCACGCAGGGTTGGAGGCAGCTGTGAGCTGACCAGCAGGTGGGTGGGCTCCCAGGCCAGCTTCCCGGCGGTGACTCTCATAACCAGCTCAGCAGGTGGGTCAGTCGGCGAGGGGCAGGCTGCTGTCCCGGGGCCCCAGGGTCAGGGGTGAAGCTGGGCCCGAGAGGCAGGCCGGGCACAGAAACCTCCGTGGCAGCTGCATCTCCCCCTCCCAGGCCGGGCGGAGGCGGGGGAGCTCAGGGGGTCTGTGTGACGCACTCTGGCACCCTGAGTGTCCCCGCAGAGCTAACCCTGAGAATGCTGGTGTGGGGTTTGGGGCAGGAGATCCCAGCCCGTACCACCCCCTCACCTGCCTGACCAGCTGCTGCTTGGGCACCATGTCCCCCTGGGGCTGGGGGCGGGGCTGCTCGGACAGGCTTTCTAGGGTGTCTCTTGGGGTGCAGGTGAGGAGAGGGATACAAAATAGCAAAGTCCTTAAAGGGTCCCCAGTCCTCCAGCAATACAGCCCAGTACGTGTGACGCCCCTGGGACCGAGGGGCTCATGTGGTGTTGTCTGAAGCCGAGGGCTCCCCCGAGCCTGGGGGCACCCTGCTGTCCTTGCCGGCAGCTGGCACCCGGACACCTCTTACTTCTGGGCAGATGCAGCCCAGCCAGCCCCTCCTCCTCGGCCACTGGCCCTTCTCCAGGCCTGGGGTGCCACGTGCACCAAGCAGAGGAAGCCCTCACAGAGGCATGGTCGGGCGGAGCACCAGGGTGAGCCGGGAGCCCTGCGGGGCGCCAGCCTCAGATGTCCTTTCCGGCCGCAGGCAGCCCCAGATGGTGCCCCGTCTGAGGGGACCCTGATTTCCAGGTTCACCCAAGGGCGGTGAGCTCCAAACTGTGTGAGCAGGAGAAACTGATAACATTTCTTTCATTCAAAGAAAACTAACGAACCTACCCCCACCCTGCTTCCGTAAGAAATGTACTTTTACAAACATTTGATTGGGCCCAGCCACTGTGGCTCAGTGGTTGAGTGTTGACCCATGAACCAGGAGGCACATGCCAGGGTTGCGGGTTCGATCCCCCGTGTGGGCACGCAGGAGGCAGCCGATCGATGATTCTCTTTCATCATTGATGTTTCTATCTCCCTCCCCTTCTTCTCTGAAATCAATAAAAATATATTAAAAAAAAACTTTTGGGAAAATATAAAAATACTATGGGTTTGATGTCTTCTGGAAATGAATTTGTATTTTGTTACTCACCAAAGCATCTGAAGGCCGCTGGGTCCCAGCTTTCCCGTCTGTAAAGTGAGAGGATTGGCTTGGCATTCGTTCTCTGGTGCCTTGGTGCCGTGTCATAGGCTCAGACAGGTGCATGGTGGTATAAAATGGGCAGTGGGCTCACTTTATTTTTTCCCTGAGGTACATACCTCCCAGATCAGATAGATTTATATTCTTAGGAAAATCGTAAACCACTCAGATAGCAGGTCTGATGGTCCTGTTTCTTGCCCAGCTTCCTCCCCACCTTTCCCTGTATTAGAATAAGGTGTGTAGTAATTATCGAATAAATGAATGAAGGGATGAGTGAATGGATGAATGAAAGGAGGATGATATTGGTCTTTGGACAGCGTGCGCTATGCCTGTCAGAGCATCTCTGTAGAGTATGTTTAACTTGGGTCTCTCTCCACCCACCAAGTGTTGGGCAGAAGGCTTGAGGGTGGAGGGCTTAGGCAGTAAATGTTACCACAATCGCAGGGTCATAGAGCCTCCGGGCTTCCCAAGGGACGGCTGCTGCTTTGGGATGCCGGTTGTCCTCAGTTCCTTTTTTTTTTTTTTAATGTTTTTATTGATTTTTAGAGAGAGGAAGGGAGTGGGATAGATAGAACATTGATGAGAAAATCATCCATCGGCTGCCTCCTACACGCCCCTAGTGGGGATTGAGCCTGCAACCTGGGCATGGGCCCTGACCTGGGAATGGAACCAGTGACCTCTTGGTTCATGGGTCGATGCGCAACCACTGAGCCATACTGGCCAGGCCTCAGTTCCATTCTTGTTCTTGACTCCTCAGAGCCAACACCTTCGGCCCCACATGTCACAGGCAGGTCTGCCGCCCCCGAGGAGCCTGCTCCGTCTTCATGTCGGTCTGCTCCTGCACTGACAGCCTCCTCCTCCAGCCATGCCGAAGGCGCCCAGCCCTTGCTGAAAGAAGGGGACCCGAGGGAGAGCAGCACCAAGGTATCTGGAAAGCGAGAGGAGGAGGAAGTCGGGGTCAGAGTGGACCACTGGCTGATCGCAAGCGTGTATTTGAAATATACCAGTGTGGGTCCAGCTTGAGGACAGCAAAGAAGAGCCTTGAGGCCGCTGCCCCTAGCACTTAAAGGGAGAACCTGCAGAGGGCCTGGGAGAAGGCTGAAGAAAAGAAGAGAACCGAGAGAGAAGGGGTGAGGGGGGCGAGGTGAAGGGCAGAGTACGGCGGGGAGCTGAGGGCAGCTGTGAGGGAGGGGAGGGCGGGAGGGCAGGAGGAGGTCACACCGGGTTCCGAGGGAAGCAGGATGTGGAGGAGAGTCCAGAGGGACTTAGGTGCACCGAGCCGAGTAATCTGAGCCAGCACCCAAGATAGCAGGCGCGAGGCAGCTGACGGAGACAGAGCAGCCAAAGGCTGTGCTTGACAGGCTGACAAATGGCTTGCACTTAGAAGGTGACCTTGGCCCAGAGGATTCTCTGCGCCGAGTGAATTTAGTACAGCCACCGGGAGAGGCACTGTGTGGGGGCTCCTGCTCCTTCTCTGAAAGAGACATAAAAGTGCCATAAACATGCCCCAAAGGCCTGCTGTGTGCATGTGCTGTGCTAGGCCTGGCACCCAGTGATGGCGAGGGTCAGGTCCGGGCCACAGCCCTTCCACTCCAGCGAGGTGACACCGTGACACAAAGGAAGAATGACTCAGTGCTGTGGAGTGACCCCCTCCCCCCCTCACCGTGGCCACTCACTCCCATGGTCACTGCCAATATCTTCACCCCCACCGGCATCTCAAGTTCAAGCATCCCCCTCACTCACCACTGTCTCCTGTTGTTCTAGCTCAATCCATCTAACATTCCAGCTCTAATATTTTGTTCCTTCTTATGTATAAACAATATTCTCCTTGAAATTGGATCATTCCTATTAGCGTCTTCGCTCTCTGTTATTTCTTTCTTCTTAACAAAACAAAACAAAGCCAGAACCATTCTTTCCCGAGTCCACTGGAGTCAGGCTCTAGTCCCCCCTGCCCGCCCCACCCCCCAAACTGCCCACATTCAGGCCACTGAGGACCACCACCGTCCCAGGTGTGGCACATCACTGCTCTCTTTTAACTTGACCCATTGGCAGCTTTCTTAGCTCATCCTACTTGGATTTCCTGCTGGGGTTGGAGGCAAGGGATTGGCTTCTTCCTTGGTTCTCTGCCTCCGTCAATGGCAGCTCCTTCCTAGTCCGTCTTTGCTGGACCCTCTTCGCATTCCTGACCGCTGCATGCTGGAGGCCCCCAGAGCTCAGACTTCTGGCCTCTTATCCATTTATTCCGACCCCCTGACCTGGTACAATGCATGGCACCGAGTGCCATTTATATGCCAGAGGACTTCCCAATGTCCCTTCCAGCCCAGACCTTCCCCTGGCATCAAGTAGCAGTGAAATTATCTATGTATATAAAAGCCAAGCGACTAGAACGACCGGTCACTATGTGCTTACTGTAGCTGGCCAACCAGCCTGATGGGGGCGGGGCCGGCTGGCCAACCTCCTGCGGCCCCTCCCTCCGGCTGGCCGGCCCCCACCTGTGCACGAATTCATTCACCGGGTCTCTAGTATATATAATATATATGACCTAAATTATTGTATAAGTTATATATTATATATAACCTTATCCAGATAGATAGGTAGGTAGATAGAGAGATAGAGAGATAGATAGATACTCACCTTCTATGGTGGGTGGCAGTAAAAGGCAACTCCAGGCATCCAGCTGCTCCGGCCAAAAATCTTGGGCCCGTCCTTGCCTCCTCTCTCTCTCTCATTGCACACCTCACACATCAGCAAGAGCAGTGGGCTCCACTTTGAAATAGTCCAGATCCAGCCAGTCTGCCATCCCATTCCTGCTACCCTCACGCAAGCCCATCACTCCAACACATGTGAACTCTTGTTTTATTTTTGCAACTTCTTGTGTTAAATTATTTCAAAACTAGAGGCCCAGTGCACGGATTCGTGCACTGGTGGGGTTCCTTGGCCTGGCCTGCATCCTCTCGCAATCTGGGACTCCTCAGGGAATGTCGGAGGCCTGGTGCATGGATTCAGCCCAATCCCTGCAGGCCAGGCCGAGGGACCCCACTGGTGCATGAATCCATGCACCAGGCCTCTAGTAAACATATAAGATTTTTGGTTAATCTCTTCCCATCCTCCCCCTCCCCTCTTCCCTCTGAGATTCATCAATCTGTTCCATATTTCCATGCCTGTGCGTTGAGCGTCTGTCCCTGGTAGTCAGTGCATGTCATAGCTACAGGTCGAATGGTTGAATGGTCGCTTAGGCATATATGTATATATTTATAAATTAAAACGAAACAACACTTAGAGCCCCTCCCCCAGTGGGAGTCAGATCACGTCATCCTCTGCTCAGACTCCAGTGACTCGCTGTGTCCTGCAGAGGAAAAACCCAGGTCCTGGGCATGGACCACAGAGCCAGTGCGCTCACTCCTGCCCCACCCACCAACTCCAGCTGGTGGCTCAGCATCTTCTGACTTGGGTGCTCCAACCAGAGTGCCCTCCTCATTGCTCCCAGCACGCCCAGCACAGCCCAGCCTCAGGGCCTCCGCATCCGCTGTTCCTCTGCTCCGAACACTGCATGGCCTGCTCCCTCCCCTCACGTATGTCGCTGCCTACTCTTGGCCTCCTCAGTGAGTCCCCTGGGCCCTCCTGCCCAAGGCAGAAGCCCTTTGCCCTCTGCCCCTTATTTCCTGCTGGCGTGCAGTGCCCGGCGTTAGAGGCGGGCCTGTTTGTTCTTTGTCCCTTGGTCTCCCCGCTCCATGGGAGCGCTCTGGAAGCACAGCCTTGTCATTTTGTTTATTCCCAGAACAGTGATTGGCACACGCTTGAATGCATGAAGGTATAGAAAGCACAGTTGGGTCCCCAAGGGTAATGGAGTTTGCCTTGACCTTGTGCCAGATCCAGTTCACCATCTCCAAGTCCGCCCAGGAGACGATGCGGCTGAAGCAGAAGAAGGAGGTGGAGCTGGTCCAGAGGGCGGAGGAGCCGGGCAGGGCGAGGGAGCTCACGGCCCAGAGCCTGGGTGCCCGGAGAACCTCGGTGAAGGAAGGTACTGGTACCGGGGCCAGGATTCCCTCAGGCTGGGAGACTTCTTGGCCAACACCTTTGGCCCAAAGATAGGCTGCCACAGTTCCTCCCCTTCCCCTCCTGAGGCTGGACGGTGAGCCACACCTGCTCTCTGGTAGCTCACCCTTGGGCCCATTTCCAAAGGAGGCAGCTGGGGTCGGGGATCAGACAGAACTGGCTCCATCCTAGGACTTTCTCTCCCCCCACAGGCCTCCTTCCCCTCCGGGGCAGAGGGACCCTGTCTGTGCCCACTGGGATAAGCAGCCCACGCAGACACAACACCGGCGTCGTCCTGAGGAAGCGAGCCAACCGGGCCTCACTGCCCAGCATCCCCGTCAGCAAGCAGGAGCCCCGCTTCGCCCGCCATGCTTCAGGTGGGGCCCAGACCAGCTGGTGGGGGGGCACGTGCCCCTCTCGCTGGGTTGCCTTAGGATACCGTGGGCCTGGCAAAGGTGAACCTGGAAGCCCATGTTAGAGTAGGGGTGGCCCTCCCACCAGAGAGAGGAACAAAGTCTGGGAGTCGAAAGCATCTATGGGTTGGGCTGGGAACCCCGGGGTATGGCCATTGGAGCTGTGATAGCTGGACAGGTATGACCAGCCTTTGTGACATGTCCTAGACCACAGATGCTGGGAAACAGCATCCCCGGAAGTAGCTGGGAACACCAGGAAGAAGAGGAGAGAGTTCTGGGAAGGCCTGGGGGTCCTGCATGTTGCCTCATAAGATGCCAAGGCTGGACAGTGCTGGGTACAGACGGGATCTGAGGACCCAAAGCTTCTCTGGGATGTTCAGGAGGGGGTCAAGGGGCAGGGAGGCTCTGTCCCCATTCCTCCAGGGGAACATCTGCTCTGCTTCGCCCTTTTGTGTTCCGGGCGTCCAGATGAGAGTTCACTCAAAAAGAATGTGTTATTGAGGAACATTTGAAAGCCACCAACCTGGTTCAGAGTTTCTGTGAGTGCGAGATGTGGTGGGACATTGACGGGAGAGCAGGGCAGCGTTAGCCGGAAGTAACATTGACCCACTTCCTTTTCCATTCCCTTTCTATCCGTTTGTTCAAGCAGGAAGTCTTTATTTGGTGCTCGTCTTGAGCATGTTTTTAAGGCGTGCAAATATCCTTTTATTTCTTTATTTTTAAATATTTTTTTATTGATTTCAGAGAGGAAAAGAGAGGCAGAGATAGAAACGTCAACGATGAGAGAATCATTGGCTGCCTCCTGCACACCCCCTACTGGGGATCGAGCCCGAAACCTGGGCATATGCCCTTGACCAGAATTGAACCTGGGAACGTTCAGTCTGCAGTCCGATGCTCTATCCACTGAGCCAAACCAGCCAGGGCAAAAAATCTCCTTTTAAATAGAAATCTTTCTCCAGGCTTGAGACATGGGAAGCTGGCTGCAATTTTATACTAGAGTTTAGAAGGTTCTTTTAGTTTTACTGTGAACATTGGCCATATTTTATGACAAATGACATTAGTTTACCAATTATGGTAGTGACATAAATTTCCCTTTAAAATAAACTTATGTAGGATTTGAAAAGTGGTTTAATTTTAAGAAAAATACCATAACAATTAAAGTATAGGTGATTAAGAGATATGGCAAAAAAAAACCAAACTCCATGAAAGTGGTCATTGAATGGTTGATACTTGGGAAATAGTGCTCTATCTAACCCACCCTACTCATTTTATACAGCAGAACTGAGATCCGGAGTCTCAAGGTCATTCAAGGTCATGCAAGGGGATGGTGGCCCCTCGGGACTAAGACTTTGGTTGATGACTCTTGTGCCAATGCAGAGCTGAGAAGAGAATGTAGGAAGGAAGTCTTTGTGTTTGGCTTTAAGTGAAGGGCTGCCCCTCAGCTCAGATTTGCCCAGGACCTCCTGGGTACGCCAGAGTGGGCAGGATTGGGGGTGTATCGCTGGTGGGTGGGTTCAATCACATGGCATCAAGTAGCATATCACAGGCAAGTTTGTTTATAATAACAGGTTGGCAAAGGCAGGAATGGAAAACTCAACAAAAGGTAGAGTTTGGAATTCTGTGTGGCTCCCAGGAAGCGGTGTCCAGCGCTGGCTTAAGCGCTCCCCGTCCGTCACCCTGATGCCCGGGGAGGTAGGCTCAGTGCTGCGGGCCAAGCCTCGGGTCCTCTGGTAAAAACTCCCTCGTTTCTTTACCGTGAGTGCAGCTAACTCTTTACCGGCGGTGCTAACTTTCGGGTCCCCTGAGTGGGAAGAAGAGGAGGAGGAGATGGATCTTCGAGCCTTTAAGGAGTTGAGGCCTTTCTCGAACCCGGAGCTGGGGTTGATGGATGCCCTCCAGTGCCTCGACAGCAGTGACTGGTGAGGTGACACCTTCTCTCTTCATGCGTGGTGGCCGGGGGAGAGCTGCAGAATAGCTGCTCCCCCTCCCCCCCCCACCTCTCCCACTGCCCACCTTCTCCCACTGCTGGGGCCTGGTCCCGTGAGGGAGGTGTGTGTGTGCGCATGTGTGTGCTC